TACTGTAGGAATGCTGTTATTTGGATGGTGAGCTGTATTGGATTTCTGCCAGACATATCGTTTGGTGTTTGGTCAATTTTAGTCTCATCTGCCTCAGAATCTTCAAGGTGTGTTTTGGCAAAGCTCAGTCGTGACTGCATGTGGCCTTTCTTGAGGAGTGGCTTTTTTCTTGCAACCCTCCCATACAAGCCACATTTGTGGAGAATCTGTGATCTTGTTGTCAGATGCACACAATGATCACTCTTTGTCATAAATTCCTGCAGCTGCTTCAGGGATGCTGTAGGCCTCTTGGTCGCCTCTCTGACCAGTTTTCTGGCTCTTTCATCCAGTTTGGAGCGACATCCCGATCCAGGGAGGGTCTGTGTTGTACCAAATACCTTCCACTTCTTAATAATAGACTTCACTGTATTTCTAGGCATTGATAAAGCCTTTGAATTTTTTTTGTATCCATCTCCTGACTTGTACCTGTCCACAACTTCATCCCGGAGATCTTTTGACAGTGCCCTGCCACCCAGAGTTGATTGTTTGCTTCAGTTGCACTACCAAGGACTGAAATGCTCCAGCAAAGCTCTTTTCATGCTGAGCTAATCAAAATGACCACAGCTGATCACAGTTGAAAGTCAAATGGCTTTGTGTGGCATTGAGAAGAAGGTTAGCTACATCTGATTGAGTAGTTTACAAGTCATTTTTTAGGAGGGGGTGATCCTTTTTCCAACTCAGTGATTCTGTTTTCTTTAGTTTTCTGACATGCTGGTGTTAAATCTTTCGCTTGGATGCTATAAGTTTAAGTTGCACTGAGTAAATACAGCTGGATAAAACAAAAACTGTGTCCATCTTCATTACAGGCTGCAAAGAAACAAAATATGATTAATTTTAAAGGGGTTGATTATTTTCTATAACAACTGTATGTGTGTTTGTGTGTGTGTGTATATATAATATAATTTTTGTACTGCACTGTGTGGCTGCATCAACAATCAATAAATAGAAGCGGTTGTAGGCAGTAAAGAAAAACAGTGCTTGCAATTTTTATTTCACAAAATGTTACAAAGTAAGAGAGAGGTAAATAAATGTGCTGAAGGGCTTGTGAAGATGAGGGGGAAGCGATGGATACAGATGTGAGGGTCTAGCTGTCATCAGGTAAAGTCTGATCTGGCTTTGTGACTGTGTTCTGGACCTCTAGGGTGCCTCACGTACGCTTGCACTCGTGGAATGTGCTTCACCGAACCAAAGATGCAATGGAAATTTATAGCAGCATGATGAGGCGCAGCAGGCACCAGGTGTGCCTCATCACACCCTGCCAGCTATAGCACATTTTTACCCCCTCCTAGCCACACACTTCCATTATATGGCATGGATGGGGGCTGGAAGTCACTGATTGAAGGCAAAGAGATTTCTTTGCTACAAAGCTTGTGCGTGTAGAGCTGTAATGCCGGCAGCACAAATCAAGATAGAATTGAGCCTGTGGACTCGGGGAAGCAAATGAATTATGTTGCTCCATTTAATTTCAAAGTGGCTTTAAAGTCAATGTGAGAAACAGTTTGCGACACATTTGATTTCTGTAATGACAGTTCTGAGTGAACTGGGATATTAAATGAGGATGAAAATTTAGGGTGGGTCTTCATTTTATCCATCCTGAATTGACTGGATTGCGACAGTGGGGGTAACACTACTGTTCAAACGTTTTGGTGTCAGTACAATTTCAAGAAATTAATGCTTTTATTCAGCAAGGTTGCGTTAAATTGATCAAAAGTGACAGTAAAAACATTTATAATGTTACAAAAGATTTCTATTTCGAATAAATGCTGTTCTTTTGAACTTTCCATTCATCAAAGATCCTGAAAAAAAATGTATCACAGCGTTCACTAAAATATTAAGCAGCACAACTGTTTTCAACATTGATAATAATAATCAGAAATGTTTCTTGAGCAGCAAATCAGCATATTAGAATGATTTCTGCAGGATCATGTGACACTGAAGACTGGAGTAATGATGATGAAAATCAGCGTTGCATCACAGCAATAAATTACATTTGAAAATATATTCAAATAGAAAATAGATTTTTAAAAGTGTAATAATATTTCACAATATTTACTGCATTTTTTACCAAATAAATGCAGTCTTGGTGACTTCTTTCAAAAACATTCATAACCAAAAATTCTTACCAGCCCCACATGCTTTGTACCAAAACATTGAAATGAATGGTTACAATTTGTTACATTATTATTTGGAATGATGTGCGCTAATGAATCGTACACAATAAAAGGCATTTAGATAGTAATATGATAAAATAAAATAAATACTAAGGATAAGGTTATTGCAGGGAATAAATACTAAGGATAGGATTATTACAGGAATGCACCTTTTACATTTTTTTAAAGAGTAAGATGAGAAAGTGGAGACAATTCATGAACATACTGACGTAAACCGCTGCTTCTCTTGCAGGTGGATCCCCGTATTTGGCAGCTAAGATCAATGAAGCAAAAGATCTGCTTGACTCGGGCCCTCGGCGCTGACCCAGCTGCCCACGCTACCCCAACAGAGAGTTACATCTACTTCAGTGCCGCCAACTCACCCATGAGCCTCCACAAGTCATTGTTCTCCTCCATGTTTTTCTGCCATAAATCAGCCGACTCTCAGCATATTGCGCTCCGTTCTATCTGTCACTGTTCCTCACTGCCACTGTAATGCAAAGTCGGCAAAGGTTGATTCTTCACGTTAAAGGATCTTCACGCTGTCCATGTGAAATATCTCACAGTAATCTTTATTATTTATTGAGGTGACTTCTGTAATGTTTAACGTCTGCTGAAAAATCTGGTGGATATATCATTTCCAGTGGTCTAAACAGCCCAGAGTATTTCCCCTAATCCGCAGGGACCAGACTATCTAGGTGTTAAGTTATTTTAGCATGCTGAATAAACTGTTTTACAAATCTGGAATGACTCATTGTGAGTATTTTTGTATTTGTTTGTACGCTACCATTTTCCTCCGGCTGTGCTCTGACTGATGCCTGCGGTACAGATGCCTGTCTGGTCTGACGGATCCACGCAGGAACGGAGCGGCTGGGATTGGACAGACATTCTGTACACCATGACTTGGACTGCTGATTTGCCATTTGTCAGGCTGAGATTAATGCCAAAGACAGGATACCACAAAACAAGCTGCACAAACCAGCAACACATTATGGCAAAAGAAATAAAAAGCAAGCAACAGTGAAAGAAATTGCTTCTATGATGCATTTTATTTCATGAGAGCAATGTCGAGCTACATTCAGAATAGAGTATTAGCTTGTGCCTACTGTCTATTTCAAAAATAGCTTGTAAAATGAAGGCATTATTACATCATAAACATATCAAACCATTTTATGGTTTGTTACTGTCATATGATCTCATTTTAAATGTGAGAGGTGTCCAGTCATTATAATGGAATGGAATGGTTGTAATGAATGTTTAATAAAATGTTATGCAAAAATAACTCTACCACTTTGTTTTAATGTGTCCTTGTTACAAATTACATGTATTTCACTGTAAAAAATAAAACTTATAATCACCTACTTAAAAAAATTAAAAAATAGTTGCTGCTACAATTATTTTGATGATACTAAAGCACATGTAAAGTAATATTGAAAAACACTACAGTTAAACTTGTAATTAATTACATTTAAACATGCTAAATTGCAACTTTATCATTACAAATGTGTAATTACAAATATATTTCAATAGAAATGACATTTTATTTTACCATAAATGTTTATCAGTAAATGTGGTAGGACACATTTTGGAAAGAATGACCTTAAGTTCAATTAATTGCATTTAATATAAATGTAAACTATAATTCATTGTTTATTTGCAGACAACATGCAATTAAGTGTCTGAAAACATTACATTGAGTTCACACTTATGTATATTCTTTTAAATTGTATTATTTCCATAATAAATACTCTTTTTAAGAGTATGCTAAAGTGTACTTTCTTCACAAAGATTGTCTATATAACATGTAAGTTTTCCACTTGCTTCTTACGAGACCCAGCCACTGATTTTCTGCCGCAAAACAGGACGTTATCTTGGATCGTTCGTTGTTCCAGATGGACTAACTTGAAAATTAAGCCAGACTGTTGCAGAATGAATGCGAGTCGTATGTCATGGAAAGACTGGATCGACCCAGTTCAGTTTCTAAATGCTCTATTTGATTATTACAGCAATGAGATCTCTGTAGGTGAAAGCTTGAGCCTACAAATAAAACCCAGTGAGGTGTTTGGCACGCTAATGAAATACTTGCCACTTTGAGTGTTGCCCTGCTCTGGCCTCGCTTCTGTAGCTGGCTTTATTTACTGCCACAGCCTGCTTTTTGCCTGACCCTTCTTAGGGGCTGTTAAAATTGATCAGAAGCTAGTGTGCTGCTTGCCGGGACAGACAACTGGGAATGCTGTCCCACACTGTGTGACACTAAACCTGTCATCGTCCTGACTTCATGTATAACAGGGGTAAAAGCCCTGATTCTGGCTGAAGTTGCATTGCAGTCAGGCCACTCTGTCGTAAGATGGTGTTGCTCTGACCCCCTTGTGACTGCAGCTATTTTCGGCCTCTGCTTACTGTGAAAGCAGCATGGAGTTCCTGAGCAAGCCTGTTCTCCACAGGTTTCTCTCTGTCAGGGTGGATTTCAATTAAACAGTGTAAAAATGTAAAAAAACGCCCAACTAATCCATGCAGGGCTTCATTACAGCCGTGTGTAATGAATGCACTGTCCAGAGGAGCAGATGATGTAAGCGAAAACAAAATCCCTCATAAAACTCATATTAACAGCTTGTACTTTTGAAACATGTGAAGGCCTATTGTCTCCACGTGCCAACTTTCACACTCATCAACATTAAAAAAAATAAAATCTCTTCTCAGTATTGTTCAAGGGTTGTAAGATGTCAAAAGTGTTATTTCCAGGCATTATTGGCCTGCTTGAATGAGACTTCATGTGATGTTTCATATAAATTTTATGACAGCCAACCAGCTGCCAGCCACATTCTTTAAAGGCTCTTTGATGCTTTGGTTCTGTTCATTTTTTTCATTCATCTGCAGAAAAGGATGTAATTTCAGCTGTGTTATGTCTTCAGTTACTTGATTCAAGAAGTTGGAAATCACTTAAGTGAATCTTTTGTAAATAGTTCCATATATCACACTAAAACTTGCCCAGAATTTATGAATACGATAAAAAAAATTAAAGACAGTTTTAAGCATACTGTACCATGACCTCATTATTCATTAAACAACTCTTACGAGCTTTTAAATGTTCATTCAGTAGTTCAGTGCTACTGAAATTGAGTACTTCAATGATTACTTTTTTTGGGCCAACACTGGTTCCCTCTACAAAAACCAGTAGGATTTTTCCATTGACTTTTGGATCATAAGATACAATAAATACAATCACCAGAAGAAAAAAGATAAACGTAGGCTGTAAGTGAACTACACCACGGTCACATGACTTCAACGTTACCTTCATTAAGCTTCTGAGAACATTTTAGCTGAAAGTCTGAGCAGTTTATATTATATTATGAACGCAGTGAGGCTGTAAACATAAGTTTACCTGTTCAGCATTCAGACATTTAATGTCCCCGGCAACCTCTGTAGTCCCATTTATCAACTAACTAACTGCTTTTTTCAAGACAAGTTAAAGCTTTAACAAAAAATCACAAGTGTGAGCTGAGCTTTATAAATCGATGACAACTGGCAATGGACCTTTTTGCCTTGTTTGTAAATAGTCATATAATTGGTGCACTATACTCATAATAGTTTTGTATTAAGTATTTGTATTAACCTTATTATATAAGGTGCGGGTTACCCCTCTCTTTTTTTAAGTTTTTTTTTTTTTTCTCAAGTTGCTTCTTTTTTGTTGGACAGGTAAGGGAATAATTTATTGTGTAGATCGTTCCCTAAAACTAGCCAGTATTAGTTTAACAAAATTTTAATAAAAACACGTCGATAGATTGCAGTGCAGCATCTAACATCAATGTGATATGGGTACTTAAAGTACACCCCTGTTGAAAAAACAGCATATGCTGGTAAGGTATGTTTTGAAGCTGGGATGCTGGTTTGAGCTGGTCCTTTGCTGGTTTAAGCTGGTCCTTTGCTGGTTTATGCTGGTCCTTTGCTGGTTTATGCTGGTCCTTAGCTGGTCATGTGCTGGTCCTAAACTGATCCGACCAGCTTAAGACCAGCACATGACCAGCATAAACCAGCAAAGGACCAGCATCCCAGCTTCAAAACATACCTAACCAGCATATGCTGTTTTTTTTCAACAGGGACGAAGAACAGCGATGCTAAGGCTAGCTAAAAAAGTGCTAAATGCACTTTTAATGTCAACCTTATTACATGCATTGCCACACCCTATAGAAACCACCCATAACATCCTAGCAACTGGCTGGCAGCCACTCAGAACACCTTGGAAACCACTTGGAAGCACCTTAGTAACCATCCAGAATATGCTTAGCAATGATCTGTCTGTCTATGTGTTCGTTCTTCACCACCAGATCCATATAACCATCAAACTTCAAAACTTTCAGGCAGTATTCCTTTTTTTTTGACACACTTTCCCATGCTAGTTTTCATTCTACACCTTTAAAGTTTAGCATGGCATGTTCCATCACACTGCGGAGCTGTGCCAAACAGACTTGTATTTCCAGGTTTGCTCGGTGGGACGCTTTGCACAGACTGTTTGAATTTTAGGAAAGAAGTGACTGACATCTAGAGGAAAGATCTGTGGAGAACTAGAGTGGAGTGGGAACTGCTGTCTGCTTCTCTACCTGACTGTAATGTACTGTTATAAACAGCCGTACAGTATATAGTGTGCAATGCTCTCAGTTCTAGACGAGCCTCATTAGCATCATGCAGACAAGCTGCAATGTTCTCCAGTGGGAGCTTTAATAAAATCACCTTTAGAATGATGATGGATGCCATGTACCACCACCAGCACAAATGTTTTCATTTGATCGTTTTAGAGCATGAAAATGATTTTCATACCGAATGTAATGTCCCAGGCTCAAATTATATTCACACTGCGGCCGATGTGGTGAAGTGCATGACATTTGGAGAGATGTAAATGACTTTAATGTTGAATTTCTAATCGTTATAAACAAAGCACATAAAGGCTGATGCTAATTAGAGCTGTCGAGCAGCTTCATTAGCAGAAATCCACACATCTAATGTTGCCGTAGTCCCCCTCCTACTAGGTTTATTTATAGACAACGTCAATAAACCTAATTTACAAACCCAGCTTTGTCTCCCAAGCTCCCTTGGAGAGTCCCAGTGCTTCATTTGCTCAGGCTAAAAACATTTCCCTGCTAAATCGCTCATCTTAATGCAAAAATATGCAGCTCATTGGTGATAGGAACGTGTTTCTTTTTTGCAAATATTTTTGTGAAATGAGGAAAACTCTTTCGAGAAAATGACTAGCTGTGCAGGCCATTTACTCTGGTTTTGGGCTCCTGCAATGCAGTGCAATGTCTCTGTGCCTCAGGCTTGACCAATCAGAGTGAAGAGCTGCCTATGTCACATCACCTGGTTTTCATTAATACGGAGACAATAGACATGCAGAGGACAAATACGACATCTCCGTCTCTTCAGCGGTGATGTGAGTAGCAGACAGATGGGAACAATAGAACAAGCTCTGGCTAACGGTTTGGGGAGGAATCCAAAATAGGAGGGAAAGACAAGCATTCAATCTGAGCGTGTAAACAGGCCGCCGTGTGTGTTGGTGTCTCGCTGGTCATCCATCACTTAAAGGATGCTCATCACTGTACAGACATCATGGATGAGAAACAAAATGGCCCGGGAAGGAAAGATGGAAAAATATGCATGCAATTAATGCAACCGCCATGTGAAACCGCAACAAGAGGGTCTCGTTCATTTTCATTAGCTGGTGGAGCAATGAAAACAAAGCAATCCATCAGATAGGGAAGTGTGTCTGTAATATGTGCTGTTTGGCAGGCCTCATTACATTGGCCGGCATTACAGCAGCACTATTTTTGCTCGTTGCCTCAGTCAATACAAATAGTTAAATTAGCCACTGTATTACCACGGAGTGCAGTATATTCAGTCTTCTCAAACAGCACTCATCAGCATACTATCAATGACGTACTGCTTGATAATAAGAGGTTTAGATTCAGAGGAGCAAACTTTGAAAACCACTCGAGAGCTCAACTGCGCCTAATTCATTTTCCAAGGAGATGTCAGTTTGATCTGATACAGGAAGTCTAAATATACTCCAGGAGGTATTATTGTCTCTTCTTGTTTATTTGTTGTCTGTGTGGTTCCGATTTCACTTCCCTCCACCATGTGTGCACTTGAAAATAACTCCGCTGAATATCGAGCCGTCATCACTGAGAGTGGGATTAAAAAGGCCTCAGCTTAGAAATTGAAAATTGACCTCCGCTTCTTTAACTTTGAGCTTATTAAC